TAAAATAATCTGAGTTTAAAAAAAGTCTGCACTCATTAATTCCCACATGATCCGTATTCTAGCCAAACAAGTACTATTAACATCACAACAAAAATGGGCTTCTAGGAAGGGAGTAGTAGCCTTATCAACCAGTTCAAGCTCCACGGCAGGATAGAAGGAGGGACAAATTAGCTGCTAAGGTGGAAGCGATCAGTGAAGTGTAGCCTGACAAAGTTAGACGGGGCACAACTGCTAAGAGACGAGGCTGGATATATAGGGATGGGTAGTGGACTTTAAAAAAGAAAAGAAAAGACGGGGGCCAAAGACCAGTTAAGTTTGATGCAACAAAGCTGTGGAACCAGCAGACTGATTGAGAGAGATTGTGACACCCTTTGCAGAACAAAAATAAAGAAATTGGATTTAACACTGTTACAAATGCACTGTACAGTGAGAATGTGGATGTTCGGTTTATTTCCTTAATGTACCTGATTAAGACAGGTACCCAATATTTCACATTCATATCAGTGAGGCAGCTTTTTAGCTGTATTTCTTTAATGAATGCCTTAGGTGCTGTTTGAACTTGCATATAGTTCCCCAGATGTGGTTTCTGATCTCTCATCAGTTTGAATAAACAGACAGTATGTGTTAGGCACTTCTGAAGATGCACGTTTCCCAGATGTGCTTGTTGCAGTGTTGTTTAACACAATCCCGGATGGATGGCAAGTATCATGAGGCTCTGGAACATATGTGGCAGTATATTGCATTTTGATCAGTAATAAAAATGAGCATTTTACTGTAACAAATTCTATAGAACAAACAGCTGACATCCCCACATTTCTCTGCTCAGCAACCATACTTCAACAGGGCTCAAAAGTCCCTGCTTCAGTGGGGCTTTTGGGCACTTTTATATAATAACTAATTGAATCAGCTATTTATCTAATAGCTGATTGAATCGGCTATTAGATAAATGCTAAAAAGTCCCACTGAAGCATGTAATCTATACAGACACTGGGGAGCTGGGTTCCTTTTCCAGTAAAGCGGTGGGTTTTTGCAGAGGTTTCTTCCCTTCCCCCATGTCTACAGCAGCCAAAGAGAGTGCACGTTGATTCTGGTTGACTGGGAGATGACTACCTCATGTTCCTTAAGGGTCTTGTAAGATTCTGGTGACATGACTTACTTTGAAGAGGGCTGTATACATTTCAGCCAGGATAATGATATCTGGGTCATACAGTTAGATAGAAATGGGCAGTGATTTGCTCAAGAAATGTGGAGAAAATCACTCATTTCCAAGTGTGGATCCAGGGTAGGGTGCAGTGGTGCAGTTGATCTTAAACTGAATAACATAGTGCTAGACTCCTAGCATATTAGTAAAACTTCTTTCTTTAACTGGAGAAAAACATGTTGTGTTATATGGAAACCCTTTTCCTTGATTACTTTGTGATAATAGGCATTCTCCTGCCCCATGAGAGAGGGGCATTGTACTGAGCCAGAGTAAAGCTAGTTTTTCAGGAGCTGGTGAAGACAAGGTTTGCATCTGGATTGTGTTTAGACTGGGGTACAGGTTGGATTTCTGTGGCAATTAAATTTTGTTAGCTATTATTGCAAGACTTTGGCTCAATCTGTCCATCTTGGTGGAAATGTTATGAAGACCTCAAGCTGAACTTAAACAAAAACAGCAGTTCTTCTGAAACTTTGGCCTCAGCTGAACTAAAATGGGAAAAACAAGCCTTTTCTGGTTTTGAATCCAGCCCAGACCCCAAAGTGTTTTAGATCTGGGGATCCTAATCCAATTATCTCCATTCTCTGAAACTTGAAGGAGTTTGGAATTGAGGTGCCAGTTTTGGCCTTTGGTTGTAAAATGACTCTGGTTAACTCAATTGAAATGCTGTCTGGCTACGCAGGACTGGACATAGCCATTTCCAAACTGTGTCTGTGTTGACTGACATTTTTTAAAACACTTTGAGTGCAACCATTTTCCTGTCTACTCTAGCCAGGTAAGCTTTCTTCCAACTGAGTTTGCCGTCAACTGATGTAAACACAGTTCAGCTATTTTCCCTGCAAGTGTCAGATGTGAGCTGAAACTTTTAGCATCTATATTAGTTGGTGTGGCTGGAAATCCCACTTACAAAGAACTGAAATCCTATTTTTTGCCACAAGAAAGAATTTGATTAGATTGTTTGTGACTCTTGTGGAGACTGAAGAAAACTTTCACAATCAGTAGTTAAGGGTGGCTGTTTCAGGAGGGAAAAACATGACATGAAAGCACAGGGTGACACAAGGAAGGTTTAATATCTTCTGTATTTATAGTCTGGGATGTTTGAAAGACTACGCTAATGCATACCTATTTTTCCTCCCAAGGTTTTGCCCATTCTTGAGATTCTCTATCATGTTGAAGAAAGGAATTCACACCATGTTTACATGGCTCTTATAATTTTGTTGATCCTTACAGAAGATGATGGCTTCAATCGATCTATTCATGAAGTGGTGAGTTATTGTTATGTTGAAATCATTTATCTGTGTTTAAGAGTTATTTATTTTTGATTTATGTAGAAATGAACTTGTGTATTTTCGAGATATTAACTGCCTCCTCAGTAGAGGTGGTTTTCAGAGGTATTTGCTTTTCAAGATTTGAATGTGTATTATTATACTCATTTACTGCAGGTTTGTAAAACCAAGGTTACAAGTTTCTTTTCAAACCTTTTTTAGGGATATGTACAAATGCTTTCCTTGCCATTGGAATATATTTTTTCCTCTAGTGCTTCCTCTTACCACCTGAACATAGAAATTGTCAGGTAGGTTGTGTCAAGGATGTGGAGTGTTTACCAAGGAATGGAAAGAAATAGAACGATGGATAATCTTCTTACGCTGTCACAGAAACCTTACTCAAGTACCCTATATTTCAACAGAAGGGACTGCTGTGTGTTTTATTTCCCAAGTGGAATGTAACTTCCTTAATTGATATCTCCATCCTGCCTTTCTGCCAGCTTAATACTTATTTTATATTGGCCATATAAAGTAGTCCAAATGTTGAGTAGATTTGATCAGCCTTGTGCTGGAGGTTGTCTAAGAGGCCTGTGTTCTCGTTCCTTGCCTTGTAAAGCTACCACATTTGCACTGATTTGATTTGATTTTTGGCTGGAATATGTAAATTCTCTTTGGAGGATGCATAAAGCTGAGGTCAAGTGTTCAAATGTTAGAGTAGAATCTTTTCCATAGGTACATTTTTATCCTGTTTTTGCAGAAATGTAGAGTTTTTCCTTGTGGTATCAAAGAGAGAGAGGCTTATAAATACCTGAGAGAGAGAATTTGGCCATTGCAATTCCTGTAACCTTAGATTATTTCATATAGGTCTGAATGAAAAAAGCAGGAAGACTTGGCATTTATGTGAAGTTTCTTGGGAGCAATAAGCAAGGAAGAAAACCCATGGCAAATATGCAAACTCCTGAAACCACCATTTATCTGGAGACTGCTCTTACTGTTTTACCCCCATTCCCCAAGAGCATCTCTGTGTTTGGATTCAGTATCACCATGACGTTTAATTTTGCTCATGAATTGAGCTCATTGAACTGTTGAGATATGGCATCCCTTTACCACCTCTTGCCTCATCTTTCTTCATTCATTTTAAAGGCTCTACTCTTGGTCTGTCAACAGATCCTTTACTGTTCAAGGGAAGGTGGGATATTTCCCTAAAATGGGCAATGTAGATACAGCCACAAGGTTAGAGCATAAATGAGTTTCCACATCCAGTTAAGCTATGTCCTTGCAGCTGACGCAGCCAACATGGATGTAGTGATGTCTGCAGTATGGCGGATACTTACTGTTTCCCTTTTCATAAAAGAAGTCTCTCATCTTCTTTTCTTCCTGCCAGTCTTCTCATTAGTTCCCCTCTCTTCTTCCTTTCTCATCTTTTTTCCATGTCTTCTCTCTCTCTGTTTTCTTTGCTGCCTTATTCTATGACTTTGGTTCCTTAATCACTCCTCGGCAGAGACAGTTGGGGTGGCCATCCAGCAGTGGCTCTGAGGGACATTCTCTCTTTTTTTTGCTGCGTAGCATGGTATTCTGGGAGTGGAACAGGCCATTCTACGCATGGGAGCTGCTACCAGCATCTGCAGCCCTGTTCAGGTGAACGGCTCCAGAGACCAGCTGTGGTAGGAACCACTGGAGAAAGAGGGATGAAAACAGATGGCTCTTGAGGAATCTCACGACTCGTCAACAGCTAAAAAAACATGTTGACATTGAAGAGCAGACTAGAGTCTTCCAGCCGCTTCCAGTGCCCTCTGTTCCTTTCCTCTGCCCTGGGCGCCTCTCTTTTCCAGACCTTTCTTTCAACCCTGCCCATTAGTGGACTAGAGACTCCTTTGGGTATGGATCTTTGCCACTCTTGTAGCATCTCTTGCATTCCTAGTATTTGGTGTTAAAAGGATAGATATGTGCAATAAAGAAAAGAAGTTGAAAATCCCTTGCTGTCATCTAGATAATTTCAGCTGTGTGTGAGCACCTTAGGTCTTTGTCTAGACAGAGCCACCACAGCACCACCCTGGCAACTGTGACATAGCCAGTTATAAGAAGGTCAGTGACTACGACGCTGCCCCCAGAGATTCCCCTTCTGTCGCTTGTTCTATGTAGAGCCTGAGCAAACAGCACTTATGATTCCTTCAGGTGGTTCCTGATTCTGAACATCTCTGAACCTTGTGGAAGAGGGAGAGAAAGAGAAGATCTTAATATCACATATCATTCATATCACAATTATAGGTTAGGCCCAGCAGTTAGTGAAAGAGAATAGTGTACAAGTTGTTTTGATTTGAAACTCTTTCTAAGCCATGGAGTTGGATGGTTTCTGGGTGCATGGTTTCTAGAACTCAGTGTAAGATTGCATTGGTGAATCCATAGCTGTTTACCTTTAATGATTTGCGTGTATATACCCACAGCATGAAGGGTAGGAGATTAGCCTCCCAGAAGAATAGATTTATGCAGTGGTAAATACTGAATTAGTCTGATGAAATGCCTTCAATCTCAATGACGCCTCTTTCCAAACAGTGAGATCTTACACAGGAAGAAGAATATGAATGGAGATGATGCTATCTAAATAATTCTACAAGATGTGAATATCTAGCATCAGTCATACAGCATGAATGAAGCTCTTATTCAGTGCAAATATTTATCACGTTTTAGCCGTTACGGCAGGAAGGTTCTTCCATCAATCGGCTGAAGCTTGAGAAAATAGGAGAATTTAATGTATTTTGAGTTGACCTGTTTTTCTCTCTGCTGCTGCATATCCTGTAACGTTCTTAAAACAGTCATAACAGTGTGATCCATTTATGGGCATATTTTCCTTTGTGGTATTACACCCACATTTATTTATTGATTTTTTTAAGATTAATTTTAGTAAGCACAGTTTTATAAATCTCTGTGATTATACAGACTGGTAAAGAGCTCAGGAAACCACAGAAACTCTTCTAACTGCTGAAGGGTTCTCGTTTAAAATAAATGTGGTCGTAGCTGCCTGGAAAAGATGATCAAAAACAGAGGCTCTATTCCTACACTTGACTCCATACAGGCAGACCCCTGAACCCACTCAGAGCTGTATTTAATTCACTCATAATAGTAATAATGGAATTAACTTTTAAATTGGGAGTTCCCTAACTGGGGTGGTTATTGGTGAATTAACTCCCCATAACCCCTAAAACATGAAATCATACTTGCAAACTTTAAAGGACATCAAATACTGAAAAACATGTATGTGTTTTTCCCTGCAGGCAGTATTAATTTTGAAATGTTCTGTTTCCTAATTAACCAAAATTCTTTAAAACTACTTTTTCAATGAATTTTTGCTACCCTTTAAAAATATCATCTGTTACTCCATTTAACTTTTACTTTCTTATATCTTTCTTATTGAAACACTTATGTCCAACAGTAGTAATCAGCTGTGTGTTATGTGTGATGCATTTTAAAGTGTCGACACTATTTCCTTTTTTCTCACAATCTGAAGAAGTACCTCTCAAGCGAGTTATGCGAAACTTGGCAGCCGACTTCTCATGCAGACACTTTTCAGTTTCTGTTCTTTGGATCTACAGCTCTGGTGTTTCACTTTGAGTTTGGGGCTTAAATTATGTTAACACTTGCAACAAATTTTAGTCAAAACCTGCAAGTTTGTTTTCGTGTAAAACCCCAAACCTTATCTTTGGTTCAAATGCAAAACCATAAAGCAGCTGAGAATTGTTTTTTAAATTGGGTCCAGATTCTTCTAAGAGACCATTGTAACTGTTAGCTCATTCTTTCAGAAAACCTTGACTCAGTTTGTTTCTGAAACCTAAAGCCAGGTGAATTTCATGGGTTTTGAGGTAGTTATAGGCAGTTCATGCTGCTTTGTTTCTAGTATAGGTTTTCTGAGGACTGTTTGTTGTATTTTGGGGGGAGGGAGGTGTTTTGTTTCGCTTTCTTATAAAAGTAGTTGAATATTTCCAGAAAACAGACAATTCTAGACAAGTTAATCTGGTCAGTTGTTCTTCAGCAAAATGTGTTTTTAGCAGAAACCGCTGGTTTATTAAAACAAAACTTTTTAATGGAAATATTTCTGTTTCAATGAAAGCTTAATTTACAAGCCTTCTCTAGCTTGCGGTGAAATTTCAGAAAGTGAGACAGGCAGGCAGATAAGACCCACTGACCCCCAAATAGCCTGCATAATTACCCAGTGATTAAGGAAACCCATCTACAGTATTAAAAATGCAGTTAAAAGTCCTCACTGCTTGATTCAAAACTGGAACTTGCATCTATGTCCCCACACTCCAGATAGAAGTCCTAACAGCTGGGCTCTTCTAGAGGGGCTTCCCCCCCCCGCGAAAAACAAAAGGTTTCAGCTTTGTTTCCCATCAGAATGAAAAAAAAATTATGAAATGCTGACATAGTCCAGAAAAAGAAATTTTTCCTGCCAACACGGCCAACAACTACCTCAGTTTTGCAGCTCTTTCAGCACGCTCATGGAGAAATACCTACTCTTTTCTTCCTTTATCAATCTTTTTACTCATTAATTTGTAAGCTTCTGTGAGAATATAGAGGCAGACATTTAATAATAACTTAAAAAAGAAACCCTGTATCTTTATTTTTCTGTTTCATATATTCATAGTTTATGCATTTTTGGTGGGACTACTTTGAACTTTTAATTTTTAAACATTGAGATGTTCTTCTCTGTGGAATAACACCTTTTATAGATGCATTTCAGAGTGCATAACAACAGAGAAGTTTTATTTTCCCCTCTCAGTTTAAAAAAAAATCTGGTTTTCCACAGGTTTAGAATACCTACAACTTTCTTTTAATGTTAAAAGGAAGGGTATGTGCTCAGTATCACTGATTATCAGACTGGCACTGATTACTTAATATCACAATGAGTCAGTTATGGAGTTGGGAATAATACCCACTTGAATGCCACTCTTTTGCTATAACCATGTAACACTGCTCACTCTTCTGCCATTTCTTGTAATTGGTAA